TTTGATTACTTGTTCTAAAAATGTGATTTTAAGTTGCGATTTTTGGTGGTATTTTGGAAACTCAAAAATGGGATTTTGGTACATATTTTGTGTTTGGATTGTGGCTGAGTACACATGTGGGAAAGCTTCTACAAAGGCCATAGGGTTTGATATTATGGTTGAAACCCTAAGAACATGTTTAATTGTGCACATAACCACCTATCCCATGTGGCACCATGTGATTGGTTGAACATGCTCACCCAAAATAGAGGGAAAATTCAATTTAAATTATTGCTGTAAAATGTGCCAAATTACCATAAGGGCAAGCCCGTAACTAAAGTTTTTAAGTTGATTATGTTAATTGAGCATAGACATTTTTATAAAAGAGAAATTTGGAGTGAATTATGGTTAAAATGGAGGATAAGGTTGTTAAAGCTATAGTTGTTGGATGCTTGTGATTCCAATTTGCTTTAGGAATCAAAATTGAGTAATCACGTATGCCAGATGATGCCTAATCTTGGAATTGCCTCTCGTACAATGAAAATTATTAGAGGCATGATTCTTGATAATCAGAATCTTGAGCTAATAAAATAGGAAATGTGATTCCTATTTGTAGGAATCAGTATCCCATCATTGTTGTAATCGAGTTTCCTACCATTCAGGAATCGCACATGACCACAAACCGTTTAATGGCTTACGGAATCGTGATATGATGAAATAGGAATTGTGATTCCTACATTATTGGAATTATTGTCCCATCGATTTGGATTCAAAATTGCCACAAGTCAGGAATCGCACACCAATCCCCTTTGGTATATGAGAGAAATATTTTGCGAGAAAAGATTTAAATTTTTACGATTTTTACAAGCTTGAAATTTGGAGTCCATATTTCTAGTAGAATTCCCAAATGCAACCATATTATGCAAATCAACATCTTTGTCAGTGCTCCCATATGTGTGGGCTGCCACCCAAACGTCTTACCTTGAGTTGGGGTTGCCATCCACTACATGATTTATAGATTGACAAATCTGTTAGGTAACTTGGCAGAAATTATTGTAGATGGATTCATCTCAAAAGTTTATTAAGGCAATACTTAAGAAGTCCTATTCCAAATGGGAGATAGATTTCTTTCTATATAATGCTATTTGAATCTCTTTCCCAGTTTATGACATAACACTCTCTCTCACGCCCAAAATTATCTCTTCGTTCATTTTTCCATGCCACCCTCTCTTGATTTTTGCCAGGAGTTCACGCTACCCATAGTGAAAGAAAAATAGGTGGTGGCACGTGAAACCCTATTCTAGGGTTTACTGTATTTTGAAGAAAGAAGAGAGAAGCCTAGCCCAAAGAGATATCAACTCACATATTTAACCTTAATTTGTTCCTATAGGGTTTGTAGAAACCCTAGTTTATTTGTGAGCTCTCTATAACTCTAGAAAAAGAAGTATTGCCTACAAAGTTTCCATATCTTAGAATTTCCAACAATACCAAAAGGAGCAAAAGTACGCCATCGGTCAGGGAATCGGATGTGGGGTGTACTAAGTCTTGATAGAGTAACTTTAGGCATCTTTCAGTAAGTCTTCCCAATAGTAGAAAAGATCATCTCAGAATTTCTTGCATGCAATGCTTACTACTCTTGTTCCCTCTTCTGCTCCTCTAGAGAGTAGGGTATACAAATATTTCTGCAACATATCCCATAACATGTTTTACATTCATTCATTCAACACTTCCCTTGAATTGGAGCATTGGAGTCTAATCATGAGTAAGTTAGAATATGTATTGGAGCTTGGTGTAAACATATCTACTAGCGACTCCTTTGATTGGAGGTTTTATCTCCTTGGCAACATGGCTCGCTTTTATGAAGTCGCTATCATTTTCACTGTGCTTTGTTCTCTCATGTGCGTTTCCATCTCTTAAATAGTGATTCATTTTCATAGTTTGCAATGCAAAAAATTTGAAACAGTGCACCTCTTTTATCATTTTACACTGGCTTTTATGTTCTTGTCCATAGTTAAAGCTATAAATATAACATAAAATCAAACTCACAATCAAAGTCTCATGTTCTTGTAGTTAAAACATTGAATGCCTCCTCATCACATTCATTCCATTATCACACCCACTACCCTTATTGGACTTGCCATCTCAGGGTTCATAAATCCCTCTTTGTTGCTCATCCTTAGCTGCTCAACTCTTGTATTGTAAGTATTTCCCCTCTAGGACCATGGTTGTTGGGAGTAGGATCTGGAGTGAGGCATCAACACATGCAAGAGGCTTGGGTCGTGAGTGCATTCTGTACAAATTTTAATTACTATGTATTTTTAATATATAAATTTTAATACTTTTTTAATCCAATGATCTATGAAAAATAGAAATTAGATTAAAAAAAATTGCAATCATTTATTTATTATCATTCTATAATATTATGATGAGGTACTCACCGATGTAATTATAGCATTATGTAGTAGTTTATGGCCCCACAACAGACGATAAAAAATGTTATCATGATGCACATAAGAGTAAGTGATAGGAGCTAATTTTTTATTGATAAAGCTCGCACAAGATCACTAATATTAGCTATGGAGATCCCATGTAGATCCTGACAAAGGAACACTGGATTGCTGTGCGGGATCACCACCTTAGTTGGATGATCCCTGTAACTATGCTAGGACCCCACTGGCCTCTTCAACCCAGATTCCAGTTATTCTTCTAAGCTTTTGGAGTCTATGGTCTTCCCCTGCCCATCTTTTATTGTGTGTAATCTACATAGTTATCAAATGAGGATGCAAATTTACAACCTATAAGTTAATTATGGATAAAAAATATTAAGAAAATGATCATTGGTAAATTGTGCATGGACTCTTATGTGTCTTTAAATTATAATGCGTGAAGATTGAATCATTAATTGGTTGTGTTTTGTCAATCTTTCTCTTATGGATGCACTCAAGCGCTCCAATTTCTCTTACTAGTGGCATTATAATTTTAGGTTAGAGCTCTAGTATAATGGCTGTGAAGTCGTTGCCAAATTGGGACCACTAGGCAATTTGATCTTGTGCTTACAAAATCTAATTGGGTTCAAAACCTTGGGTTGCCATTGTCCCCACATAAAATGATGGGGATCTCGTGGAAGAGCTTCCTTTTCCATTGCCTCGATACGGGCCAGTCTCTTTGTGTTCACCAAAATGAATTTCTCCATTGACTCTATTCAATTTGTATCCCTCATCTGAGTTGCTGGATAACTCATTCCCTTTTTCTTATGGCCTATTGAAGGCTCTATCCTTGTCTACCTGTAGGAGAAGAGTCAAGGCACAAAACTCTGCCATCTTCTGCTTTTAGAGACTGCAGCCTGATCTCTTTTAAGTTCTAAATTGACTCCTGGAACTGGTGCAAGTATTTAACCTGTGGACCATGCCTATGGAATCTCTACTTCTCAAGTCCTTGAGTTCGAGATTGTTATAAGTGAACAATCCTCTTTCTTATGTATGAGTTTCATTACTTCTCTAGGCTAGCCTCCTTTTGCAGTGAGCCAAATAGAGTAATGTGTTGTTGCTTAAGGCCAGTTGCATCTTCAAACTACCTTACGGGAAAGACAATGATGTATAGAATATTCTGATGGTTTTAATATTCCATGGCATGTATAAGCATTTATTTTGTATAAAATTTGCCATCATAACTAGACAGGACCTACCTAATCAAACACTTTAAACTGGATCATGGACAAAGACCGGTTCAGTTCAGTGAAAAAATTGTATGAAATACAAAATCAGAGAGAACCTGATGGAACCAGATGGAAGCAGTTTTAATGAGCCAGTTTCTAGAACATGATTTGGATCCAGATGGAAGCGGTTTTAATCAGCCAGTTTCTAGAACACGATTTTCTTTCTTTTTTCTAAATGGTTTCCAATGGAAAAACCCTATTTTCTGTAACAATTTTGTGCTGTTTTGGTGGAATTTTCTTTCCTTTTTATTTTAATTCATTCATAAATCAACTCCCTTGATTCTTATGCCTTCCCCTGAATTTGTTTTTGGGAAAATGCATGCTTCTTTGCCCTATTGAGGGAAAACTCCTCGATCAAATCCATTTTTGTTCACTTTGACCAGAACGTTTTGCTGTCTTTGACATTTGAGGGTTAAAAAGGAGAATTCATTAGCAAAGGGAGGGCCTTGTATTTTTTCCCAGTGAGAGAAAATATGAATTTGGCTTCTACATTTCCTGGCGGCAGTTAGTGAATTGATTTGATCCATTGGCAAGATCGTTTACTGGCTAAAATTAATTGTAAGAGCGGGTTGATATTGATCTTATGGTTTCCATGAGTTGGTAAAGGAAATAGGGGAGTTCATGAAGTTGAGCGTGTCAATATCTGCTTGTATTTATTGCAATTGTGTTTGCTGGATTTTTGTTAAATTGACTTTCCTGCGTCCTTGCACTACTAAAATTTGCGATTTTGTTATTTGTAGTTTCTTGTGTTTTATATGAGTTAGTAGGTCCTTGTAGGTGGAGCAATAGTTTTACTTGATAATGGATATTGTATATTCGACTGTGACTTTTTTGAGTCTTAGCATAATTGTAGTCTTCTACTATGTTGGTTGGTCCATCAATGGTTTTCCTTATGCGTAGACATAGATCAATAGTTTTACTATATCAATATAGTTCTAGATATGGAAGTAATTATACAAAGAAGATATATTATTCTTATCATCCAGAAATAAACTGTAAGTGTTATAATTTTATAAAACACTCCTCTAGTTGTTATTTCTTATTTTTCATAACATTTTTCTGAAATTTCCCTTATTTTCTAATTTTTGGTTTATGGCTTTTTGTTTTAATTATATAAAATTTATCTATTTTTAAAATTTGAACCGGTTAATAGTCCAACCAAAAAAGACCATACCTATCATTTATTTGGTTCAATGTCCAGTTCAGTTTTCATAGCACTGATATACAAATGCTTTTTGATATCATGGTGTTGATGTTTGTTGATGTTTCAGTGAATATCTTCCTTCTTTCTGGTCTTGGTCATAACTATTCTCTTATGCTACTATGCAGGCAAAACGAGATCCTTACCGCTACCGTTTTCCAATTGAGATGCGATTGGTCCATCCTAACATCGACCACCTTATGTATGTAATTTGCTTCTGGTCTTGTGTTGGGAGAAACTCGAATTTATTGAGATTCTTTATGCAATAGATTACTATCCTTTCTTACTGTTATATGGCAAAATAGTCTTCCTGATTCTGCTTGCTGCTTTTTGATGCTAATATGTTTGTTTTTTTCAGTTTCTTTCTTGATATCTATTTTCTTTGTTATGGCTACAGTTTCAATAGGTTTGATTCTCCTCCAATCTTTCATCGTGATGGGGATGATAATCCGGATGAATTATCAGTAAGAACTCTGCTTCACATAAGTATTTATTTATTTATTTTTTTCATTTTGAATACTATCACGTTGTTTTGGTGAAAGTTCTCTTGGTCTTTTGAAACTTGATTTCCAGTATTTACGTTAAGTCTCTGTGGCATTTCTAATGTGATTGGTGTATTAATTTCCCAAATTATCTAATCTTGGTTTATCAATTGACTTCTAATTTACATTCTCATTTTGGGTATTTCTATCAAGATTTACATCTCAATTGACATTGAGTGAGATTGCCCTTCACATTTATTTATATTATCTTCCTCCCAACCAAGAATCATACCCAATTTAGTTGCATTATGGTCCAATTACTATTAGGAATATTTGATATATTGGTACCACTATCCGTTTACGTTTTCTTGGATGACAATCGCTGTATTTCTAAAAGTCTTGCTTGTAATTTTTCATACATTTTCTGTTCACAGGAAAACTGGAATCTTGAATGTTTAACATTTGAAACCTCTCACATATGAGAATTATATTTTCATATCATCGACACTAAATCAGGATGAAAAAGAAAGTTGAAAGATCATTGGATCACATGCAGTCACATGAAGCTTATGTCATATCAGGAAGCACATGGATTGGGAGAGAGGAATTCCTGAAATGATAATTTATGTTTAAATCATATTTTCTGATATGCTCAATATGTGAAAGAAATGGGGGGGACTGATTCATTTGTATTTATTGTCCATATATGTTGTATTGTGCAGAAAAAATGATTTTAGTTTTATGAGGAGAAAATGAAGTGGCACCTTGAAGTGGAGAATAAAACTCTTAAAAGGAAACACCCTGTTGTTCCCTATAGGGCATGGAATTGAGGTTATGCTCCCCTAAGCTTTTGTAAACCTAAACCAACTATTGTTAAACATGCAGTCTGTAATCCTCCCTGTTCTTCCTCCATGTATTTACGTCCTTGTTTACGCAACGTTTGTGTTTGTACGCAATGCTTAAAAAAATGGACCGCCCTACGCTTGGGCGCCCAAATTTTTTTTTTCGCACACCTTGACCTGGGCGCCCCAACACGGGCGGCTGTACCTGGGCGGGCGCCTAGGCAGGCTAGGAGGGCGCTTAAGCGAGCGCCCAACACAGTTTACGAAATTATTTTTTTTAACTTCACCCAAAAGGGCAAAAGGGGTATAAAATAACTTCGCCCAAGGTCGTATAAAATAAGTTTAGGGGTTTATTTTTCAACCCCAAACTGAAAAAAAAACAAGAAACCCTCAATCTTAAACTTATTTATGAGAATCTAAAGCAATTGCTGAAAATTGAAAGTAGTTCTTGTGGATTGAAAAAGTTTGTTTTTCTGATTGAAATTATTTTTAGGGTGCTATTGGTGGTATTAGAAGACTTTTGAGTTGATTCGTAGCTCGATTGAGATAACCAACATCGAAGATTAGAGATTGGGTAGAAAAGGTTAGTCTGTAATCTTTATTTGAGACTTATTTTTTCAATTTGAGATGTCTTCTACGGGGTCTACTAGGGGTGGAGATCCGGGATAGAAATATTGTGTTAACCTGGATAAGAATGACATAAATAATTTCTGTGGACATGTTTCTAATGTCGGCATAAATAGATTTAAGAAACATCTTACCGGTATTAGAGGTCATGTTGCCCCATGTAAGAAGTCCCAGATCTGGTAAAGAAAGAGATTTTGGAGTACATTGAAGCTGAAAAGAGTAAAAAAGTTGCAAAAAAAAAGGATATAGCATAATTAAAGTTAGGAGTTCATATATTTGATGATATTATTGAAACTGAAGAAGAGGATGATGAAGAGGGGGAAGAAGAGGTAGCCATGGTTGGTACTCAGAGCTCTAAGACCAAGAGGGCTTTTGGGTCTAAGAAAGCTCGTACAAGAGTGCCTATAGATAGTTTTTTTACACCTAGTCCTGAGACGGTAATTGAGAAAGGCAAGAGAAAGGGGAAAAAATAGGTGACAATTGAAAATAGGTTTAAAAAGGAAGATGGAGCCCGGGTGATTCATTATATTACTCGGTGGTTTTACTATGCGGGCATTTCTTTTAACACTGCTTGTTTGAATAGCTTCCATACAATATTGGAAGCAATTGGGCAATTTGGGTCAGGTTTGAAAGCTCCAACTCCTTATGAGATTGGAGAGCCACTACTGAAGAAAGAAGTCGAGTACACTAATGATATCTCAAGACTCATAAGGAGGGATGGGCTAAATTTGCGGTTTCTTTGATGACAAATATGTGGAGTGATAGGAGGAGGAGTAACATGAATTTATTAGTAAATTGTCCCACAAGTACAGTTTTTTTACGCTCAATCGATGCTTCCAATGATGTTCATGATGCGCATTATATATTTTCTTTCATTGATATGGGTATTGAGGAGGTTGAGGAGGAACTTGTAATTCAAGTGGTCACAGATAATGCTACTCCCAATCTAGCTGCAGGTCATTTGCTTCGACAAAAGAGGCCTCGCATATTTTGGACTCCTTGCGCTGCACATTGCGTAGATCTTATGCTTGAGGCAATTGGTGAATTGTCTCCTATTTAAAGAATTATTTTTAAGGCTAAGGAGGTTACAATCTTCATATACAGTTACATTACCCTTAGCATGATGCTCAAGTTCGCAAAAAAGAGAGCTAGTGAAGCCTGGGGTCACTAGATTTGCCACTGCCTACCTTAGTCTGCAGAGCCTGTATAAAAGGAGGATTGCATTAAGGTCTATGTTTGCTTCAAGAGGAGTGGAGTAGGTGTAAGTGGTCTAGAGATGCCAAGGGAAAAGGCTAAGAATGAGATTGCAGAGAATTTGGGCAATGATGCAGCGAAATATGCCCCAATTTGGGAGATTATAGATGATAAATGGGATAGGCAGCTCCATAGACCATTGCATGTAGCGGGGTACTACTTGAACCCCAAATTCTTTTATGCAGATGTAGATATTGAGTCAAAAGGGGTAATTATAGATGGTTTTAATGAGTGTCTTGAGAAATTAGTTCCTGATCCAAATATCCAAGATAAGATATCAACTGAAGAGTTAAATTTGTACAAGTGTTCTTTGATGTCATTTGGGAAAGATATAGCATTAAGGAAGAGAAATAAAGACGAACCAGGTAATATTCTTTTAACTTATGTACTTATGTTTTATAAAATATAAATTTATAAGTTTCTTTCAAGTTTTGATAATGTTAAATACCTAAATTAATTATAAAGGTTGCCCACATATTGCAGCCCAATGGTGGAGACAACATGGGAGTAGCGCTCCAAACCTCCAGAAGATGGCTATGCGGATCTTGAGTTTGACAACTACCTCTTCTGGTTGTGAGCGCAATTGGAGTTCGTTTGAGATGGTATTTTACTATTTTACGATTTTATATGCTTTTTTTGTTATGAGTTCAGATTCATTTTGTAATATAGATTCATAGAAGGTAAGAAGATCATAGACCTATAGTAGTTACTTATGCATTGTTTTTCCTTATAGGTGCATACAAAGAGAAGAAATAGGCTTGAGCAAAGGAAGCTCAATGACTTGGTTTTTGTTAGAGAGAATCAAAGGCTCAAGGAGAAGAAAACTAGCCAAAGAAGGACCCTATCTCTTTGAAAAACATGGAGAATGCTTCAGATTGGCTAGTTAGTGACCCTGGTACTGAGGAGGTCTTCCCTGGGAAGGGTTTGACATGGGCAATGGTCGAGGAGGCTTCGGGGCAACCTTCTGATCCTAGGAGGGCCACTCGAGCCACTTCTTCTGTTGATACTTCACGGAGGGAGATAGAGGAAGAGGAGGCAGATTTAGAAGAATCTCTGGAAGAAGAGGAATATGTTGAAGATGGTGATGATTCTGATGATGACGACCTCAATTATGATGCAGATGAAAGCAATGAAGATGATGATTCTGATTCTTATTGATGTCTTGATTGTCTTCTCTCTTCTTTTGAAGTAACTTTAATACTTTATTGCACCATCTTGGTTTGGGCTTTAGATATTTGGAGTTTGAACGATTTTTATTTAGTTATGTGGTTTGTAATTTTTTGCCTTTTTGGACTATTTCGTTGTGTGGTTTACTGGTTTTTTTATAGCTTTGGAAGTCAGTTTGTTGATGACTTGGAGAGTTGGAGACTTGGATGTTATTATGGTTTATTTTATGGGTATGGAGTATGGAGAATATGAGAGTTGGAGACCTCACAGTAGCCTATTAGACTTTTAAATGTTTTGTATGGTTCAAAATTTTGAATAAGTTTATTCTCAACTTGATTAGTATTACCTGAGTGGCTGAGACATGTGATATGTTTGTAAATAAAAAGCTATGTTGCGAACTTACGATATTTTCAATTTCAAATAGAAGAAATTACAAATTTTGACACAAATATATGCATATGTGTGCATTTGGATAGCAAATATATAAACACAAACTAAGAATTTGCACCGCAGGGCGCCCGAGGTTCTAGGTGCCCGCCTAGGCGCTGGGCACTGAGCGCAAGGTAGGCCGCCTAGGGGCCGCCTAGCTTTTTTTAAAACCTTGTCTGTATGTAAATGCGCTTGCATGTAGGGTCTGTGCGTGTGTGTGGATGCATTCATTCCTGTAGAGGTGTCTGCCGTCAGATACTTCAATTTGTTTCAAAACTCAGACAACACTCATACATCTACATATAAATGTATATATATATGTACTACAAATGATCTCTTTAAAGGCCGTCTCATCACCCAAATATAGCACAGTGATCCAAGATTTATAGTGATGAGGGGAATTGAGAGAGAAAATGCTGTGTGGTAGAGATATTAGGATGACGAGGTGAGAAGAGAGAGAAGAGACATGGAAGATATTTTAGGGTGAGGGAAGCGAAAAAAGGAGATGTGAAAGAAATTATTAGAGTCTTTACCTGATTGGTATGTCTCATCCATCTCTCCCTCCATCCTCTCTCTCCTCTCACAACAGTTAATTAGTGTAACTTCTTTTGTTTGAAATATCTCACATGCATCTATTCTCTCTTCCCCCCCCTCCCCAATAAAATAGTCATCTCACACATCTATCTTTCCTTTCTAACATTTCTAATTTTTGCCCAAAGCACTTGCACTTGTGTCCTCTTGCATTGCACAGGTTGCATACTAGATGTGTGCCCCGTGTGTTGTACAAGCCTTTCCTAGGCCCTTGCATCCTTAAACCTTCTAACCATTAGCACGCTCCTCCCTTTTCTTTCTCGTCCTTTCTCTACACATCCCTAAATCTTATAGCGAAAAGCATTCTCCTCCTTTCTCTTTCCTGTTCTTTCTCCTGCATGAGATGTTTATATTTCCGGGGAACTGTTTCTCCTACTGAATAGCATGGTCTGTCTCGTTCTCACAACTGAAAATCATAGCTAATTTGTCTTGTGGGTGTTCTTTTTCTGTTCTAGCTGGTCGAAGACATCCCCAGGATTCGATAGTTTCTGCTGGTTGTAAAGGTTATATTGTTTATAGTGCATTATAATCCCACCTTTAAAGGATTTATTTTTTTGATGTACTTTATTCAAACTATGTTAATCATGTAATCGTGTTAAATTGGGAGGATCATTTTTCCTTCCAATTGCTAACTTTAATCTATTCATAGCATAGTGTTCCTTGCATTTCTCTTGGAATTTCTAACAAATGGCTTCTATGTGTGTCTTGTAAGTTGCATTGCACTATGACTGCATTATGAATCATCATCATCATTCTAGGGCCTTTGCCTGCTGTATCTCTCTTGCAAATCTCCAAGAAAAATCATGAACTCTTGTACCAATGGATCATGGTCTAGTTTAGGTGAATGTTCAACATCTAGCAACTGTCATCTTTATCATTCGTAAGTGGTAACAACTGTCATCTTTATCATTCATAAGTGTTAACCTATGCTATTAACTAGCCAAAAAATTGTTATTGATCACATAGAGATTGTATGCCAAACAATCGAGTTTTCTTGTTTTTAGCACCCTTTGCTTGAGAGTGAATGCCGAGCATAATCTAGATTGTCAACCAATACATGAACCTATTGAAGTGTATAATCTATTATAATTCTTATTTACATGCTCTCACGTGCTTTAAAGGCCACAAAACTCCAACACTTACTAATTTAATTAATGATACGTGATTGGGATATTCAATACAATAATCTAGATTTCTTATTATAAGAATAATAATGTTGTTTGTTATCCTGTTAAGTAAGAAAAACAACCTCTTTTCAATTGAGAGGCTCACATTGCTTGCTTCCCCTCTAGAACACTTTTGTGATCATTGTTTCCATGGGAAGATGCTAATTGTTTTCATGATTTTCTCATACATTTCACCTCCCTTTTAAAACATCTTATGAAAAGTTCCAATGGATAAATCTCATCTTTGAATAACGGTTGGATTCATGCTTATTGTGAAGGCATTGTTTTGCAGCATGAAACAGGAAGATATTTGGTCCCAAGAAGAAGACCTAAGTCGAAACCAGAAGATCGACCATTGTTGTCAGATCATCCTTACGTTGATAAGGTGATTTTGAATTTACTGCACCACATATCATGTCATGTTTTACTGCAATTTCTTTATGGAGATTTTATTTGATGTATGTGACTATGTATATACATGTGTGTGTGTGTTGTTTTTTTTGGGTTGGGGGGGAGTCTAACTACTCAGAGTGAAGCTAAAAGAGATGTACGGTTAGTGTTGTGTGTTAGATTTTTTTCCCCCTAAAAGAATAGGGGGTCATGGTTAGCAGAAGCATTAATACTTGAGTGGCCACAGGATGATGTGGAGGTAGTTGGTGGGCCATCTAACTATGCAAACAAACGACGGAGGCTCTCAATTTTGTCTTTAGGGACTGATATCATCTCCCTTTAAATAGTTGCTGCATTGGGTTGTACTTGATATGCATAAATAGTTGCTGAACCATCAATGGATGAAGTATTATGTGCATTGAATTTCCAAGAACGATTGAATTTGCCGGTCGACCAACTAAATCCCAAAAATTCTCTTTAACATGACCAATCCTACCACTATGATCATTTTAGCTTACTTTTGGACTTCTTTTACCAAATTTTTGTGATCCACTCCCCTTATTATTCTTAGAAGGCAATGATGCAGAGACAAAAGCATATTGATCCATTGGTTGTGTAGGAAATATGACACTTTTTCTACTTTCTTCACACTGGATAAAGGAGTATACTTGATTGAGAGATGGAAGAGTATCCTGCTTAAGAATTTGAACCCTAGCTAACTCAAACTCAGAGTTCAATGCAACCTAAAACTCAAAAGGTATGATTTTGTTCCACAAACTCCTTTATTATCCCCATCTTGGTTACAGGCTGGTTTAAACATCTGATAATTCTCTAATTCCTCCCATAGACTACGAAGTAAAGCAAAATATGCGGCTAGAGACCGCTTCTCCTGTCGAAGATGGGATACCTCTTATCTCAGTTGGTACTCCCGGGACATGTTCTGGCTTTTGGAGTATGTTTGGTATACTGATTCCCAGATTTCTTTCGCAGACCGAAGAATCAGGAAACCCTACTAATTGAAGGTTGCATTGAGTGCAATAACCAAGACATTACAATCTAGTTTTCAGTGTCCCACTTTTCCTATGAAGGATTTATCTTTTCAGGTTACAACAATTTAAAATTGATGTGTCCCAACTTCCCTCTACTACCAATAAATATTTTAGCAGTCTGTGACCATTCCAAATAATTGGTCCCATCAAGTTTAACAATAGTAAACTGCAACCCAGGGTTTAACAATAGATTTGGTTTCTCGAACCACACATCACAAAGAAAATTTATAGAAGGAACTATATTCTGATGTACAGCTATTGGCTATCTTCGCATGGTGAAATCACATCATTCGGGTTGAAGCCTTCTATGTTGCTACCAAGTTAAGATACAACACACTAGTATGTTGGAAATCAAAGTGTGGGAAAGATCAAGATCTAGGAAGAGAGAGAAAATTGGAGAGATAGATGAGAGAGGAAGAGAGGCTTACATGAGGAAGAAGAGCGAGAATACAATCACCATGGTGTCCCTTCTGAACACCATGCCCACTTAAACCCTTTCGTTTAATAACAAAAGCCGTGGTGATAATGGGAAATGGCAAACTATCCTCAGGGACCTAAATACAAGAAGAAATAGATTAACAACTTGTTTATTCACAATGCTATGGACCACAAATTTTGCAAGCAGTGTCGCGTGTTAGAAATTTTGCACCCTATCCAGCTGCTCCAAATAATTCATAAAGGGATATGCACCAAAAATGTGGGAAAAATGTTTTCGCCATTTTGATGAATGTAGGCCGTCTAGATCACCTCCTGTCCATCAATCTGAGTTGTTTGGCTATACTGGTCCATGGGCTGATCTGCTCACAAATACACCCATTTTTTCCATATGCTCTCCATCCACCACCTTATAAAGGACGATCAACCCCAAACATTAGGGATGGCCTTCAAATCCCAGATGAACAATTTCCCAAAAAAAAAAAAGAAAAGAAAAAAAAAATATTTTGAGCACATCTAACTTTAGTTTTAACAATTTTCCAAAATAGAGATCAGGTTTTAATCCAACTTTCTCCCCTAATTTTATTTTTCTTGGAGGGCATGTTTCGGGGTCCAGAGGACATATGTGCAAAAAATGAGGTTAACGAAAAATACCCCTAACATCATTCTTTTTAAGGGGAAAGGGAGGGAAAGGTGGGGGGGCTGTTGAACTTCAACAATATTAGCCTAGCCATGTGTGTTTGTGCATCTATCCTTTATGTTGTATTCCCTAAACCTACTAAAATATTTTTGGACATTTTGATACCTGTACTTCTTAATATAATAACTTAGTCTCTAGGAGTCTTTTAATAGAAAAGAAGACATTTTATTAATTATTGTGGGAAATAATATTACGCACATGGGATGTAACATCATCCATATAGGGTCTGATTTTACTTATATGGATCATTAATTGCTTTCTAACAATAATAAAATGTCATTGTCCACCTTGACAGTTGTCTACTCTACCCCTTACTAATGACATAAAATGCACGTAGTACAAAATTTTTGTATTAGAGAGCAAAGGGTAACGAGCATTCAAAGAATGTTGAGTGGGTTGAGAGAATACTCCGTGAGAGAGAGTTGTCTAACAAAAGCCACACACACATACATGTGTGTGTACTCAAATGAATGCATGCATGCATGGGTGAAAAGATTCTATGGTCCGAGGACCAAAAGGGGTTCATTTGGTAAAATAGTTATAAAAAATTCCTCCATCTTCGGTCTCCACTGTTGAAGTAAATGGGCAGTGGATAAAATGGGGCACAAAAGTTTTTCATGGTCCCTTCGGACACCAAAAAATGCTGTTGCACCACCTTGAAAACTAGTTTTGAGGTGTGGCCTGATAAAAAAAGCTCCAAATCAGAGTCCTCCATATATGTTTGATTTTGGAGCTCCAAATGCCCAAAATCCACTGTCCATTCACATGGACGTTCCAGGTATTATCCACTGTCCCACTCTAAAGACCATCCCCACACCTAAAGTGTCTCATGATATATTTTCCTTTTTTTTTTGATATGAATTTCTTTTTTTTTTTTTACTTTTAGTCTAAATATATGGGCCACAATATGTTACTGTAAAATTAAAAATTGCCCTAGATGCAACCTAGGATCTTGATTTTCACTGCCAAGAGAAATAAAAACTATCGAGGGGCTTTAAACTAACTTCCACTATAAGTTTTAGCACAAAATAAGTTCCTAAAAATTTATAGAAAAATAGGAAATAATACTGAAAATTAATTAAAAGTACCAGGAAGACTTACTGGAACACGCCTGGAGTTATCCTATTGGGTCATGGTACACCAAACACCCAATTCCTTGACCAATGATGCACTTTTACTCTGTAGGGGCCATTTGGATACTTGGAAGTATATTGTCTGTGAAATATATTACGGGCGTAATACATTACTGCGTAATACATTACCTGCAAATGGATTGTCACTGTTTGGGTAGTATTTAGATGCCGCTTGGGAAATACATTGCTACTGTTTGGCTATGTTTGGCTAATATGATTAGACTTTGGTTTGAACATGATAAGTCATTGGAATAATACGATTGGAATAACATGATTTTATTGTGATAAGCCTTAGTTTTATTTATTTTTTATAGAAGTCTTTCAAATGTCTCTCTATATATAATTTCAAATAAGCAATAAATTTATGATACCAAAATCAAAATCTTTATGGTACAAATTAAAAAATGGGAAGAATTTTGATTAGTAAACTAGAAGGTTTGATAATTGCAGTTGAAAATTTTGAAGCATTGGAGGAGACTAAAGAGGTATCTTATTTCAATTGAGCTTCTCCTAATCTCTTATGAGGATTATGTTGTGTAAAATTTTTTATTATGATTGTGTTGTGTAATTTCTCATCGATTACCAGTTATTATTTTTGTTTTTATACGAGAGTTGATGACAGGCTATAACCCAAATTGGGGATAGAGGGATGTAGAATTTTTTTTTTATGATTGCAGTAGAAAATTGTCCCTCATCAAGTTCTACAACAGTTCAAATCAATTTAGATTTCCCCTTACTTTCACTTACCAATTATTAAAATTTTTTGTTTTTATATGAGAGTCAGATGAGAGCTACAACCCAAATAGGGGATAGACGGATGTGTAAATTTTTTATTATGATTGCAGTAAAAATTGTCATCGTACACCTGTTCAAATCAATTTAGATTCCCCTTTTCATATCCCCTACTTTCACTTTCTACTTGCCTTAATAATTATACAATGAGAGAGGGAAATGTTTTTTTAAGCATGGATAGGGAAGAGAGTCGCACGTGAAAGATTTCCAAAAATTACCTTTTAACCTTGTAATAGATTTTTCACCCCTCACTGCGTAATGGATTTCGTGATTTTTGGAGAAATCTCGGGTAATGTCTTTTCATTTCCTTACTATTAAAGTGTACCCAGGCAGTGTAAATGTCATATTTCCTTGTAATCTATTGTCACGTAATAGATTTCCACATACCCAAACGGCCCCTTAAGGTATTCTTGGAAATCCTGAGATAGGAAAGCTTTGTAGGCAATAGTTCTTTCTCTAGGGTTTTAGAGAGCTAAAATCAACTAGGGTTTATAGAAACCCTATGGGAACAAATTTGGGCTGAATTTGTGAGTTGATCTCTCTATATGTTGCGCTTCTCTCTTGTTTTATTAAAAATACTGCAAAACCCTTGCTCTAGGGTTTAACTATACTACCACCTATATTTTTCTTTAATAGAAAATATAGAGAAGAGAGAGAGTGGCGTACCTCCCTATGGGTAAACAGAGGGGGCATCGCTCAGATAAATGCATCAACTCATGAGAATGGGGTATCCAATAGTCGATTAATAAACGATCGGTACAAGTCAAGAGGCAGTTGCTTCTTAAAATACCTGCACAAATAGCTAGATACAATCTAAATTCCCTTTACATGATTTCCAATGAAATCATCAAATAAAGGGATTAGGAGGAATCCATCCGCCGGAATCGGAATAGAATCTCTTAGAGATTCCATCCGGGAAGGTAGAGTAGAAATTAGCATGATAAAATCAAGTGACTTCAAGTTTCTTGGAGAGATAGAAGAAAATTTTGGCGTGGAGAAGAGAGAGAGAATCCTTTTATGGGAGAGAGAGAAACCTTGTCATGAGAGAGGGGGTTCAATTAGGTTTGTATAGAAACAAGATCTATCTCGTATTTTGAACATGATTCCATTCCAATTATGCCTTATCCAATTTCCAACTTGACCTTTAGGATAATTAAAAATCTGTGGGGTAAGAGAGATTTAATCAGAGCCATCCATCCCTCAAATCAGACATCATGATTTTGGGTGGAAAGATAGGAACGTTATCCTCTTATATTTTGACCTAAGTCCAACTCCTATTTAAAAATTGAAATATAATCAATTTTTATTATAGATCTCCCCATTGTTTTAAAAAGCGGACCACCTAGCGCCTAAGCGGTCCAGGAGGCCTAGGTGCATCGCTTAGGCTTAGGCAGCCAAATTAGGTGGGCTGTCCCTAGGTGCCCGCTTAGGCGCCAGGGAACCTGCCTAGGCCGGTGCCCAACGCCCAGCTGTAGGCGGCCGCCCAGGGGCAGAAATGCCCCTCGTTGAGGGCATGTTTTGGTCCTTTTTTTTTTAATATAAAAAGGGCAAAATAGTGGGTTTTAGGTTTATTTGAAACCTATACCCCATTAGAGCCTATTTTAGATAGAGGAAAACCCAAAAAACTAGTTTTTGGTGATTTCTATAGGATCGAAAGGTTTCTCAAAGTTATGAAAAATTGATCTAAGCATCACCTGTTGATATTAGATTTAGTTTTGGATCTTTTATAAATCTATTAGAGTGTTTTTTAGAAGATTTAGAGTCCTTAGAGGTGGAAGTTTGGAGATTGAGTAATCAAAGTTAGTGAATTTTTTTTTTGATTGCTTGTATAATTGGATGTGGTTTTATGGGGTATGGAGGAGTGTGTGCTATGTTAACTTGTGTTCTATACATTTGATGTGCCCTAAGTCCCTACCTCTTATGTGTTATGCAGTTATACTTATATTGTTAGACTAACTGGGCCGCCCAGGTTTTGGGTGCTCGCCTAGGCGCTGGGCGACCTGGAGCCCCCCTTTGGCCTCCTAGGCGCTACCTAGCATTTTTCGAAACACTGGATCTCCCTTAACGATAAGAAACCAAATCTAATTAGAATTAGATTACCTATCTTAATTTTTTTTAAATTTGAACCATAGATAATGGGGCCTGCCCCTTTTGCCTAGAAACTCACTCGTTCAGATTCCATCAGGTTTTCTTTCACGGACGCTTTCTCTCCCATGCTTTCCGTTGGTCAACAACCCTCTCTATTTATCTTCAGTCTTCACTACTCATACAGGAAGGCTGTCAGGAAGGAATTTAGAACTATTTAATTTCAACTAAAGAAATTATGCCTGAACTGGATAAATTCACTTATTTCACACAATTCTTTTGGTCATGCCTTATCCTCTTTACTTTTTATATTGGAAGTCTGGATCCATTTTGTCAAATGCCTTTTCCTTATCAGCCTTGAAGTACATTGCTCCCCC